GTTAACAGGTCTCACTGAAGTGGTCTTTCATAAAGTGGTAACTGAAGTTAAAGTTATCGCAACTACCGTAGGAGGAGGGATGGGTGAACTAACGCACTGTATAGGTCTACCGACAGACCTACCCATCCGCTGCGCAGTCGCAGAACGTTTCACTAAAAATGGTGAGAGTTATGAACATTTTCTTCAAACGCTACACGCAGGTTTCGACAGCAAGAACATTTCAGAGAGAGCAAATGTGTTCCAGAAAATAAGCCGTGTCTTGACGACCGTCTCACGACCGCAACCCGACACCTTACCGAGTCTTGTACGAAGTGCTGCGCCAAGAAGTCAGCCCCACGTTTCTCCAAAACCTGGGAGAATAGGAAAAAATGATTCAAATAGCTATGAAGAAGTTAAGCCAGCATGGTGTTCAAACTTCAAGCAAGAATTTGCGGATCCTAGTTTACTCCGAAACAAACAATTATCTGAAGTTCACAGTGAATATGTCATCCCAATGATACCGCCAAGTTTACAACCTCAGATCAAGAAATTTGTAATACACAAACGAATCGAAATGGATATGAAGCATGTTTATGAAGAAATTGATCCAAAATTGGAATGGGATTCACATTCCAGGAAGTTTGAAAGATCTGCGAATTGTAAATCGCACGAAGATCCGCAAACGGCATCTGGAAAATCATCAGAAATGAAATTTGTAGCAATAATTACTACAGATGATAATTACGACATCCGGTCGATGCAAATATTAGCAAAGTTAGACTAGGAAATATTAGAACACGTGCGTATATGACACAAAATTGTTTATTGCCTAAAAAGAAAGGCCTGTTTACACTTGCAATTTTTGCCGCGATTTTCTTCTTCTGATGGATGTGAACGAGTACATGAGTATGAATGTTCCGAGTATTTGTACCCTCATCTCAACATTCATAATACTTCCACTCGTTCACATCCATCAGAAGAAGAAAATCGCACATAAAATCGCGATCGCATTGCAAGTGTAAACAGGCCTTTACAATCCTAGAGCAAGTTCATGTATAGATCGTTATTTCCATGTTTCATTGTTGAGATATTTTCTTTTCTTTAAAAAAGCAATGCAATCCACTAAAACGTAATTCATGAATGAGGCATCAGTGAATACTTAATTCACCTTTCCGGAAAGTATATCACTTGGCTGTATAGAGCCTCGTTTTCGTGTATGTGAACACTAGTTTAAGTGGCACTCTCGTCAAAATTTTTATTTTGTTAAACGAAAATGCTCTTAAACTACAGTAACTTGTTTTGAAGATTTTTGTTCCAATGCTTTGTTCTTGAGATATTTCATTTTGTTTGTAACCTTGTGACGTCATTTACTCAATTACATATATAATGAGATATCAGTATAATTGTTGTGTATCTTTGCTATTTTTATCAAAATTTTCCAACGATGCGGCGCTTTTGTTAATTTAACCTACATCATTAAACATACTGGGTTTTTTAAACAAATCCATAAAAAATTAGCAAAGACACACAACAATTAATGGTATCTCATTATGTATGTAATTGAGTAAATGACGTCACATGGTTGCAAACAAAATGAAATATCTCAGGAACTATAAAGCATGAGAACAAATATCTTCAAAACAAGTTTACTATACAGTTTTAAGAGCATTTTCGTTTAAGAGAATAAAAATTTTGACACGAGTGCCACTTTAAAGCTAACGTCTCAATAATGAAATCAGTTTTGTGTCATACGCACTTCATGAGTAATGTAATGTAATGGTTCTGTAATAACAAACATTATAAATTGAAAAGTAACGATAAACTACTAAAACTTTGCAAGCTTAATTCAAACTCAATGAAGAAGACTAGTTCTATAGTTATGAAGGATTTTATGACATTTGAAAATTTTTAAAAATAAATGTTATCTAGCTTTATCAGAGCTTTGAAGTGAATTCTTCATGGTATGCTATATATGTATATATTTACAACAGAACGGTTATATAATTATTTTAAAAGAGCTGGTACTAAATGAACATAATTAGGAAAGCAATGACTTATCAGTGCCCCTGTTGTTAGTAATATATACAGTTGTAGAATAGTATGTTGTTGAATATTACATAATTTTATAGTAGATGCTTAACAGTGATTTAGTACTCGGTAGTGTAGTTGTTGTTTATGAACAAAAGTCTAAAATGAATTCAGCATCTGTCAACAAAAAGGAGTCGCGCTTATTACTACTCTGTAGAGGATAGACAATTAATTTAATTCACTAGGAACCCGTTCTACAATATAAACTAGAAATCGGCCAACAAATTGCCACAAAATACTACAATGAAAATAGGGTCTCTGAACTACCAATTTCACCGAACGGTCAAGTTTCTCTGCAAAGATCGCCTCTTTGCCAAATTTTCCTCGAGTAGATCATCGTGTTTTTAAGTCAAGGATTATGTATACTTTAACATAAAAGAATAAAAAAAAATGGTGATAAAGGGTAGATTTTGAATAAAATACGAATGTCTGTATACAAGATCTGAGCGTTATTATGAAGCAAACGATAGTTTTTCCAACAACATATTGCGCTTAATTTTTTACAAAATTAAAAATATTCACACATTAAAGATATGAAAATGTAGCTTGCATTACAAAGAAAAGTTGGCTTACCTAAGCCCCTTACACGTCGATTAAAGTCAAGTAAAGCCCTTTCAAAGACGCGTGCCACATTAAACTACAGGTCACATGGCGGTAGAGAACTCGACGAAGTATTCACGATATTTCATAGCCAGTCAGTGGCGTGCTGGCAGGGGGGCCGGGGGGCCACGCCCCCCCCCCCCAGCTGGCAATTCTTGGGGGGGGGGCGCAAAAATGAAAAGGGGGCGCCGTCCCGTGCGGAATTTTGAAAGTGGGTGGGAAAAAACGCATTTGAAAAAATATAGTTACTTCCGTCAAGAAGTATATATTTATATAGGCTTATAAACAGATCGAGACTAAGCGCATAGACGACAAAGTGATATATTAAATTACAGACTATTTGGTCTAACCGAATTTGCTAATTTGCTACTTCACGGCTCACACAAAATCGTTCATATGGAAACTAGCCTGCGAACAGGCTCTCAAGCTGAATTGAGAGCCTGCATCGATGACTAATGAATTTGAATATCTGCATCTCAAATCGTGACGCGAAATTCTCATTGGTCAGATGCTATATATTATATTATTCCGCTGAGCTCTATATATGTCAACTGCTAACACTATGCATAAAAACACATTAACTGATCAAATTGGTCTTGGCCATCTTATCTCAAAGCACGAAATGTTCTGTTTTGAGAAAACAGTATTTAAAACATTTAAACAAAAGCTTCAATATCTTATATTTCGAAAACTACAGTATAAACTGTATGGTCTAAATTTAGTTTGCACGTCTAAATTTAGTTTGCACGAAAGTTGTAAACAACACCATATAAGGATAGACATTCCATATTTGGAAAAACGAACGTTACGGGGCAGATATTCAAATTCATTAGACATCGATGCAGGCTCTCAATTCAGCTTGAGAGCCTGTTCGCAGGCTATATAGAAACATGATCAGTGATCACACACAATGCCTCATTAGGTTTCGAAGCGATCACGGGAATTATGCCCTTTTTTGCTGGTATTATGCCCTTATATTATGAAGGTATCATGCTTCACGAATCGCGAGAGCGGTGCAAATTAGATAGTTATGATAATGTAAGTTGTGTACGCAATTTAGTTGTTTGTGCAAGAAACATCATGACTCATGAGTAATGTAAGTGATAAGATAATGCTGAAACGCGCCCTTTTGGCAGTCAAGCAAGGTAACCTTAAAGTGCATATGCGTGGGATCCGTGTGTTATTGTATAAAAGAGCTGTATGTTGTAAATGTATTCAGATCACCAAATCAGTAGAGAATAGAATTGGGATTAGATTAATCGCTGGAACTGAGTTAGCATTGCCCAATTTAAGTACTACTACTAAATTCTAACCAAATTGGAAATTTCAACACGTTATAATGCCGTTTCCTGACCATCAGATTTCTGTCAAACCTTCCCCCCAAAGTCCAGGAAATGGCATTTCAGAGACCCTAAATTCAAAAATTTTCCGAGGGGGCATGCCCCCGGACCCCCCTAGAGAAACCTCGCTCCTGCGGCGTTCGGCTCATGCCTTCGACACTCGTTTATCAAGCGTTACAATATAGGGGCGCATATTAGTTGAAAGCCCACTGGCCCCCCCCAGAAAATTAGTACCCAGCACGCCACTGCTGTGAAACTGACATTTGAAGTAAGAGTATTTTTCAGGGAGGTCGCGTAATTTTATAAACGGGTGTAATGTTTGTAACAAGAATTTCGAAGGCTTGGATTACAGTGGCTGATCAGATTAAAATTTGTCAAATGCTCGTAAAGCCTCGGTCAAATGAGGATGAGAGTTGCAATTCCCGCTCACGTTTGATTGTCAGCTCTCATCGACTCTCATAAACTTTGAGCAGGTTCAAATTTTGATGCGAGGTTTTGCTCATTTGACCATGATTTAGTTTTACCAGGGTGTTCCACCCTTTGGTGAAGGTGAAATTCAAGGACTTTTCCAGGACTTTCAAGGCCCTTTTTCAGTAAATTCAAGGAGGAAAAATCTTTTAAAAATGGCACGGATAAGTCACTGTATTCAGTAATTTTAATCAAAATCACTAATGTTGGCACAGCTTTGACAGCTGGAGGTTTAAGGAAATGAATTCCAGGACTTTTCCAGGACTTTCAAAGCCCTTTTTCAGTAAATTCAAGGACCTAGAAATGGGAAAAATCTTTGAAAAATGGCACGGATTTGCCGTAAATAATTCACTTTATTCAGTAATTTTAAAAAAATAGAGGATGCGTAGCCAGGTTGAAACATAATTTATTTATCAAACGTTCTCTGACTAAATATTTATTTCTACGAGCTTTCGGCTATCAGTCTATAGCCTTCGACGGGTCCCGTCTATGACCCGTCGAAGGCTATAGACTGATAGCCAAAAGCTCGTAGAAATAAATATTTAGTCAGAGAACGTTTAATAAATAAATTCAGTAATTTTAATCAAAATCACTAATGTTGGCACAGCTGGAGGTTAAGGAAATTAATTCCAGGACCTTCAAGGACTTCTACTGATTTTCAAGGACTTTCCAGTCCTGGAATTTTTTTACCAATTCAACGACTTTCCAGGATTTTCAAGGCCCGTGGACACCCTGTTTTACGCAAGAATAGACAATGTTTCATTTGCGACTGCTTCATCCTTTAAAGCAAACGAAGGCGTTTTCCTGATCCAACTACCTTGCGGTCAATATCAGACAGCACCAGGTATTGCGCCGATAAATCCAAGCTTGCTTTCAATTTCAGTGGAGGAGGGCTCACAAAACTAGAAGAAGAAAAAATAGAGAGAATGGTTTACTATCTGAAAGATTCTTGTGAATCAGTCATTCATTATTTGTTATATTGTCCTCGTTATGCTGCTCTTAGATTATCCTTACTCTCGGTAGCTGCTCAAATTTATGGTGAAAGCTGGTATCTCTTGTCCAATTCTCAAAAGTCTAAAATATTTTTGTCTGGTTCAACTGATTTGAGTATAGAAAGTAATAGATGTATATTTATGAATGTTCAAAAATATATTAAGCAAACTAATCGTTTTTCTAAGAATTAATTTATTACTTTGAACCTTCAATTGAACCAGCTTTTATCACTTTTGTTGGTTTTTTTTTTCCTCTTTCTTTGTAATGTTCGTCTTCTCCTGTTGTGTATATTATTTAATTATTTGTTAAATGTAGTGTGATCCCCTCGATGAGCGTCCGCGCTCTTGGGTAAACATTAAAGTCATTAAATATGTTTATACAAAAAAAGTGGTTGTTGATTGTTAAATATGCACGTAAGAATCCCACAAGTTGTGGCACATGTCTGCTGCAGGTCTGTTACATTAAGCTGTGTATTCATTGATGTTTTTGATCGACTATAACATAAGAAATCCAAATGTTTAAATCTTCAAAAGAGAATCTGCCACTCACGTGAGATTTGATGCTGGAAGTTTAAATCTAAAATAACAAAGTGAACAACGTTACAATATAAGGCAGAAAAAAGCTTGATAATTGGACACAAACGTACGAGCTTCCCTCGAGTGTCAGTGCAGTTTTTGAATAGCTGGAGGGTTAGTGTTGTACCTTAGTATGTGACTACTCACCCTCCAGCTATTCAAAAACAGCATTGACACTAAAGGGAAGCTCAGATTGAACCTCCACTCTTTGAGTGTGAGTGAGCTTTTAGAATACAAGCGTTAGTCAACGTAATTTAAGGGCACACAGTAATTGGTTTATACTGTTGTGGTGTGCCTACCATTCTTGTCCATGTTTATTGTCTAGATGTCTATTTGTTGTTCTGTTACGTGTGTAATGACCATTTATACCTCACCTTATTGTCTGTAAGCATGACCACGTGACAGTACACCATATTTTCAATTCACTGTTGTGTCTGGCACCAGTTATTAAAAATCTCCAGAATGGACTTCTACATTGAAAATATGTAAATATTAAACCATTTGGCGGAGCATAGGTGTCAATTATTAGATTATCATGGGCGAGAGTTGACAAGAGTTGATAAAAGCTCGTTTTCATGGGCGATTTATGCTGCGATTTTCTCCTTTTGGAGGATGTGAAGGATTAGATTAATTAATGATGTGGTTATGAGATTCCATAACCTGGAACATTTATAACTCATCCACAACTTCACATCCTCCAAAGAGAAAATCACACCTAAAATCACAGGGCCAATTCTCATCAACTTTCATAAAGCTGGTTGAGTCACATTTTGATAAGAGTTGAGAGTTTTTGTTCTTTGACTGGTGATATCTAGCCAACTCGTGGGCAACTCTCGTTTGACTGCAACAGAACTCGTGCTTGCAAAATCGCATCCAGGTTTTTAATATGTCACATACTTATCATCCTGTACTACATGATTATCACAAAACATCAATCTCGACACAGGTTGCCCATCATGTGGTTGCCACTCGTGCAAACATAATGGTGGATCTCCCGATTCAAAGTTTATCTGCCAGAACTTCACTAAACCGTCTTCACTTGCTGTCGCCAGAACACTGCCATCTGGAGCCAGAGCAATGTCTGTGAAGACCTAATGAAGAAATATAAAAGATTTTCTGTGTTCATCGTTAAGGCAGTGGAAGATTTATTTGGTTGGGGGGCTAGGCATCCCCCAAGGGGAGGCTCTGTCATTATTAACCCATTAAGCTGCGGAGCTTCCCCATTGATGAGTAAAATAAGTAAACAAGCAAAAAAAATAAGTAGGGTTCACTGGCTGCATTGTGGCTCAATGGGTTAATCACTGATCCTTAAAACCAGGAATTTTTCCAACCTTGTCCCCAGGATAATTGAAGAGGAAATTGAGGAAAATTGAGAACTCTTGTCAAGGAATTATCCAGAAAACCATTTCAACCACTTTTGTGATTTTTAAAAAAGTTGCCAAAAAGGGGTAAAAAAAGGCCAACCCACTATTTTTTGGAACCTCACATTTGAGACTTACATTAGTGTGTCCTTGCACTTTCACAATTCCATTCTTTATATTATCAACATCCACGGTATCTCCATGAGCTCCAGTTATCATATCAACATCAAATACTTCAGCACCACGGCCGACATTCGCAGCCAACACTTGTTCTGAGATGTTCTCATCATCATCATCACCATCGTCATCATCAACAACATAAGGACACCAAACTAGACGGTTTCCAGTGGACACCTCAGGTAGTGTCTCATTCTTTCTCTTTATACAAAGTTTTAGAGTGTAACTGGGCAGTTTAGGAAATATAACCATGTTTTACAGTTGTATTTTCAAATATTAACCCACTGAGTTAGACTGCACCGGTGCACACCAATGTGCCCGGTGCACCTCCAAGGGGAGAGCGCTGATACGTACCCAATGGGTTAAATTAATTAACTAATTTGTATGTACCTAGATTTCCAATGTTTGTGCAAAAACTACAGTAGCTACTGTTCAAATTATTTTGATTACCAAACAGAAATAAGAAGGGTAGCTGTGTGTTTCTGTATATCTGCGTGTACGTTCAAAATGTTTTGAAAATAAGCTTTATAATTAACAAGACGTTCTACCCATCCCATATATACAAGTACAGCATACTGTAGAATACTATACCTACACTGGACCCTTACATTTGAGATATCCCACAAATATTATTTTGTCCATACTTCTACACAATTACCAGATATCCAAAGGATACTTAATTAAATCATCATTCTCAGATATTGTCCATACAAACACATCACCAGCTGAGTCAATGCAAGCAAGTCGATCAGAATTATAATGAGCAAAGGACATGTCTTCTATGCTCCCTGTGAAACCTTTAATAAGGGCTTTCTGGACAGTTTTACGATTCAAAATTCTCAGCATAAAACCTGACTTGCCTGAAAAAACATTCAAGCAGAAACAGAGGTTTAGTTTGTACATGTATGTACAGTATTTAACAAATTATATGGAATAAAGATGTATTTTATATGTTACAACTGGGTATGTTATATGGATATACCTCTTATTCCATAAGCAATATATTTAGATGACACACTGAGCAAGTTTCCATTATAGTACTTTGATTCCCAATCATAATTTGTAACAGGGACAATCCTCACCTACAGTGTTTACAACACAATAATCAGATTTTGCAAGAAGAAAGAAGTTATAAATCAGGGTACATGTCTACATGACATACATACAGTGTAGTCAAACAAAACACATGAAACAAAATATAATGTATCTTGCAATGTATAACGCATACTCGGTTACTTCCTGCCACAATGGGTTGTCTTATATCCACCTCATCCGTAGTGATGTGGACTTCATTGCCATATATTGAAAGACTGCCTTGCTCTTCATCTCCAGTAAAATGTCTAATTTATACAAAATATATTCAAAATTTGTTTAGCAATGAAAATAAATTAAGTTCGGACACAATCGTGTTCACAGAGCTTTTCATATGACAACTTACAAAAACTGAAGGACAGGGTCCAACCGAAAAGAGTCAGATTCCTGTGCACTGTAGGAGTCAATTGATTCAGTAATATTTTCTGCCTGGAAATGATTATAATTACAATATTTATTACAATACATAATTACTACTTTATTGCTGTAAGATCTTACTGAAAAAAATTTCATGTGTTTGGAATACAATCAGATAAACTGAAACTACATTGTGTACCACACTAATTTGTATAAAGTGGGGTTTTTATTAACTTACTGGAAATTCATGTCCATTCTTTAACCTATGGAATACAAAATGTTATTACATATCGATGAACAAACAAACAAACTATCAAATAACACCAAGCAACTGAACGAGACTTGCCTGTCACTTCCACCATTATTTTCATGTGATGACGAACCTTGATCATTCTCTGAAATTTGAACAAAAGTTACATAAACATCAACTCCCAAGCATATCTTGGGAATTGAATATCGGATCCTGCCATGAAACATGCCAGACAATGTGCTACTGGTATGTGCAAGCATTGATCAGAGCATGTTGCACGGCTATTGGTTTGGGTTTCTTACCCTACCAGGTTTTGCTCTATATATAACCATCACCTAATTAACCCTTCAAGTGGCAATGTGCCCAAATGCACCCTACTTTGTTATTTTACTAGATCAGGGCTTTCAGGATTATTCTGAGTAGGTGTCTGTTTTGATAAAGTGGGTGGCTGGTGCAAGGTGGCAGTCTAAGGAGACATTCACTATAGTGTATATTGATTAGATAGCAACACAAATGTGCTCTATAATCAAATTATAATGTATCATTACTTTCATTCTTCAACAAGATAATTTCAAGATTTAAGATGGCAAATAACTAGATCTGTTTTACGAAAAATAACCCATTACAAAAAATAACCCATCTATAAAGTATATGCATGGTAGGGTAGGCCAAGTTGAGAAAAAATAACTTTGTTTGAAAGCTTAGAGTGGAGGAAGGAAAGCAGTAGTAAGGATAATTCAAGTACTAAACAAAGTAACCGGCGGCAAACCTCGTGGCAGCCGCCGGAGCTCCGGCAGCCGCCAGGTTATTTTGACAGCCCTGACTCTGTATAACACCAGACAATTTTACTCGTCAGGGGGAGAGTGCTGCCACTCCATTAATCAGACTATCTGCCCATGCACCCTGTTAACCCTTTAATTAAGTGGCAATGCACCCTACTTTGTTATTATAACCTGTCTAACAGCAGACGATTTTACTCGTCAGGGGGAGAGCGCTTCCACTCCGGTTTAATACCATACACAATTAGTTAATTATGTCTTTTAAGCCTGTTTCAAACGTCATGCTTCTCATGTGCCAAACAACACAACAAAAACAATATATGATCAGCTGAAATGCCTCATTATCTATTGTTGCTAATGCATTCGACACATGAGAAGCGCGACGTTTGAAACAGGCCATAGTTGAACAACAAATGAAACTGCAAGTATGCATTTATATTTGCACCATAAAACAATCATATAGGAACCTTTACACCAATACTAGTAACACACAACGAGAGCGTGTTACATAAATATTTTTTGCGCGGCTTGTTAAGTTTTAAATCACACTATCACTTTGAAACGAAACTAAATAAAAATACCTGCACCGGAAAGTTCTCCAATGTTCAAAATTCCCTTTAAAATTCTCGACGCATCCTCATTCGACGTAGATTCCATCTTAATTTTTCACTCACTCGACAATCGTGACTACTCGACTGCCATGATCGTTATCGATGAAAGGGTCGTCAAATGCTGCAAAACTACTCCATTTGTTTGTGAAACAAGTTGCAAACAAAATATTTCAGCGAACTTCGCAGTTCCTCCAGTTCGAAGAAGACCACGCTGCTTCTGGGTAATCTGTAACCTGAATCAGAATGTCAGGCCCCCCTACTATTTTACAGATAAAAGATAGCCGACCCCCCTGTAATTTTAAAATATCTCGGAATTTGTCGACTGGCAATCGTACAGTACCGATATCCCGACGAAGTGCCGGGCAATTCCGAACTTTAAATTTTTTTATCCGATTACCCGAATAACCCGATCGAGAAGCAAGGAAGAATTTTATATACTGTAAAATGGTGGACATTTTTTGTCAAACCTACCTTTATTGGAAGGTAATATGCTTTATTTAATATCAATCCTTGTAGTAAAGTACTTAGGTTACCAATATAGATGAAAATTTAGGACAACGAACCCGAATTTAATGTGATATTTCGACATAAACTTTGTGCTTTTGCTTTGCACGTGGTTCGCTTTATGGGCGATTGTCGAAGTTTAAACCGTGTTTTAATTCATAATTATTGTCGACCATGTGAGTTAAAAGAGTAACTGAGATCTAGAATTGTTTAAGTTGTCTAAAAAAGTTGTTATCTCTGAGTTTTTGCCGAAACTTTTTATATTAAATCAATGCCGTATTGGCATACGGCCCGTATGCCCGTATTTTAATAAAGGATGAATATAATTTATTTCATCAGCTTGCATGTATTAAATAGGTTAGCACTTTTTTCCATCCAGCAAACCGCTCTATCGATTTTCTAAAGTCTTTTTAAATTTTTTTTATTAATTCGGTTAGGGTTATAGTTAGGGTTGTGGTTAGGGTTAGGGTTAGGGGTTAGAGTAGGTGTAAGGTTTGGGTTATGCACCTATCAATGTAAATCCTGTGGGGGGGGGAGGCCGGGACTAGCGAGGGGATTTGACAAAAATGTGAGAAAACTAATCAAATGCCTGCAGGGGGGAGAAAATTCCGGTCAAATAAAGGTAACTTTCTGCATATTTTAAGCTTTTTAAAGGGTGACTTTTAGTGCCGAATTTTACATTTCTGCTCCGAATTTGCGATAATCCCAACCGGAAATACGACAAAAACTTGTCAAAACAATGCCACGCTTATATCGCGTGACTCTGGAAATGGATTTTACAGGTCAAAGTTAGGCTTGGGCGGTTTACCGGTTTTTCGGGGTTTTTTTGTTTTATTTTCAAACCGGTTTTTTCGGTTTAACTTTTACAAAAACCGGAAAACTGTCATTACGAAATTGTTTACTGTCAACGCCCGAAACTCGATCCTAATTTTCAAAACATGACACTAATTAAACACAATTACATGACACTAGATACAAATTATATTCTTTTTCCGTAAAGTCGGTAAGAACTAAAGAGGTATAAGTTTTCAAATGCGTTCTTGACCCTTTTATTTTAAAACTGAAGTCGTTTTAGGTTACCTTTACACAATTTTGCGTTTTGTCATGTTCTGTTTGTTTGCTTATGTCAAAAAAATACCACAATTCCTCCTCATTCAGTTGAAATAGAAATTAAAGGGAAAAAACTGGTTTTACCGGTTTAGAATCAGACGGTTTTTCGGTTTTGATTTTAAGCAAAACTGCCCAAGCCTAGTTAAAGTGCACCCATACATGTGAGTTTGACGTCATCCCGGCTAAAGGGCGCTCCTTATTGGCCAAGTATTACGTAATACAAGTGCGTGCGAGTAAAACCCGATACTTTAAAAATTCAAAATAAATATTTCTACTCGTTGTATTCATACAAAACTTTCTACACAAAAGCGCTTGAATACAAAGAGTATTTTACACAGTCATATAGCCTTTCAGAAAATGACGAAAAGTTTAGAAGATATTCGACTTTTCTCTTTTTCTCGTTTGAATGTTTGGCGAAGCAGTGAGTATAAATATATGATTGTTTCGGTTTGTGTAATGTTTTGACGGCACTTGACCCCCCGTTCGAAAGGTTATTTTGTGAGGATTACAATGGTGGGTTTTGTTTTAACGGGGGGTAAATACTCGCCGCGATATTTACATTAGAAAAATTGAATTGTAATGTAATTCGAAACTACTTGTCGACAAGGAGTTAAAAACACCAATTTACTTATAAACATTGAGCAAAGCAAGGGAAAATCATTTTTAATAATATGAATTGACATGAACATAAAGGTCAGTTCACACTGGAGGTGATGCTACAATGCGACGCTATTTTCTGATTTTCATAAACAGATAACTTTGATTAAATTTAAACTTGACATTAATACAATTACGTAAAAACCACTGTAAAACCTTTGCAAACAGCACTTTCAACTACGCTCAGAGGACCACACTGGATTTAAATTTTACGCATCACTGCTCATGCGCATTAATAAGTTCAACCTGGATGGAAATTGAACTGCCCCGTCCTAGGGACAGGCAAGTTAGAAAATGTCTCCGGGAGGGGATGAGTTTTGTCATCAAATCCCCTATATTGTCCCAGCCTCTCCCACGGGGTTTACATTGATATGTGTATTAGTTATATAGCCATTTAACACCTCTTCTATCTTCCAAAAATGACGTCAGCAGGGCTTTCCTCTGGGGCGCACGATCGCACATGCCCAGATGAATCTGGGCGTGTGATTTATCACACACAAATTTGATTTTTAAGGATAAATACAATTTGACACGCAGTGAATTAAGATATAATGTAACAAAACCAAATATAATTTGACACTTTAGAACTTTACATTATTTAACAGAGAGCGCAATATTATCGGTATTCTTCCAAAGTTAGGGTGTTTATAATTGAAGATGGCCACCAAAGGCAATAAGGTCGATCTGGCAACTTTTATGAAGTGGGGGGAAATGGTGTTATTGGCTAGAAGAAGATCAACGCAATGAAAATGCTTTATTTCAGCATCCAAAATGCAAAGGGCCTGTTAAGAAGTCAATCAAATTGTATATTGAGGGAACAAGCTTTGTGAACAAGCACAGTCAATCGGCATCTGGAGAGCAAAGGCCATCGCAATAGAAAGCATGCGGCTTGCGGGTGAAAGAGCAAAACTTTTCAATAAAAGTTATAAATACACCTGACATTTGTTTTTTTATTGTTATTTAATTATAGTGGCGATTTACAAGTAAATTTTACACGATTTTTAGCGGTTTGCAACTTCCAATTTACATAGCAAAACATGCTCAGGGTTTTTTTTTAATGAAAGAGCTCTGATTTTACTATATAGCTGTTTAATCATTTGCAAACTCTGAACCTGAATTTTTCCGTGTGCTTTCATTTGATTCTGATTTTATAACTTTACTTATAGTTATTCATAAGTGAAATTCTATTTATAATAGAGCCTTAATTAAAGTAAGTTTAAGGAGGCTCCCTACAGTTGTTTGCGGGACCAGTATGTGTCTATCCCATGCAACCGCATGATCAAAACAAAACAAAAATTGGCCTTGCTTTTTTTTAAAAAAAGCTATTTATGAAAGGTTTCTAATGGAAAAAAGCATTGAATAATACTTTGTTTTGAGTGCCAAATCACTTGCAAGTCTATACAGCAATTCTACATATGATATGAATATCACTTAGACCAAAAATAGCTACGAAACAATGTTTTTTTAATTTTTTTAAAATATACACTGTCAACTATAAAACATTTGCAGAATTGCAAACAAACGTTTCAGTTTCATAGCATATAAATTGTTCATTTTTAGCAAGAAGTACAAAACCAAACATGAAACAAAAAAACATGTCCACCTGTAGGCTGTTGCAGCTCATAGATTGAGTAAACCGCAGGGTTCAATTAGCTTCAACCTTGTATAGAGGTTTTGTTGTTTTCATCGATTTGATCCTTCACAATAATCCTTGGCTGTCCATGGCACTCAAATAAATCGAAAAGTTGACAAAAACAAAACTGTAGAAACAACATTGCCGCTTGATTTTGCGGAATGAAAGCTCGTTCTGCGCCCGCGTACAATCTTTTACTAGTCAGCGACGCTTTTCAATAAGGGGAATTTCTCGAGTTGCACGAGGCTATTTTCTAACTTTATTTGCATTTTACTCATTAGTTTCATTGGTGACCTATCTTCAAATTTTGACCACAAGTTTATTTGCGGGAAATTTTGTAAATTTCAATTTTTAAAAAAATCTTTAGTGTGGAAATTTTGCAATAAAATTTTCGCTTTTAAAAAAATCACACACCACAGAATTTTTTTAAACTTTCACCACAGTTGCAGAGCATCATTCCCTATTGATATATGAAATAAAAAAGATAGGTCACCAACATCGTTTCTGAGATAGCGGCACATTTATGGGTTAAATTGGAAGGCTTTATGCTGTTGTCATGTTGCCATGGGAACATTGACGTTGTCGACAAGAATAACTGTAGGGAGCCATGCACCTATTACTGTTTTGTCTAGGTCAATGAGTGTGTGTAAAATAAACTTCTAATAATCGCACACACAGTTTGCCCACGCGATTGTCTGCGCACACAATTTTCTGAGTTGGAAAGCCCTGTCTTATGTCAGTTTGCTGGATGGAAAATAGTGCTAACCCTTGTATTATTTCAATTGTGCGAAAAATATTTAACAATGGTGTTTTTGTAATTTTGTTAATTTATATGCAGAAAAAGCTTTGCATTAGCAACATTACAACAGCAACATTACAACAGCAACATTACAACGTATTTGATTCTTGCTTGCAAAACAATTTCAATTACAAATAAACTGAAAATGCTTGAAAATGCTAGAATAAAATGAAAATGCTGAAATCACAATGTAAACTGGTGTAAATTTTGATTGGTGGGGTTCTCGGTAAGGCATGTACTAAAAGGCGAAAACATCGAAACAAAACGATCAAAACGAAAAGGCCGAAACCACTGAAAATATACCCTGGTTCCAGAGGTTCTTTGCAAGGCGAGAGAAATGAGTGGCGAGAAGGAAGAGCCTCTGATCATATCGGTTGCAAATCCCACTTCCACACTTGATTAGGTTCAGAATTTGAATCTTGCATTGCATGTCAAACTGCTTTGGGAAATAAACATACATTTACTGTACACTAATTATATGGTATCTATTATAACTATAATTAGCTTAAAGTAATGGTTATTTCCCAAACCACTTTGACATATTTTTACAAATGGCAATGCAAAATTCAAATTCTGAACCTATAATCAAGTGTTGAAATGGGATTCGCAACCAATGTGACCAGAGGCTCTCCCTTCTCGCCTTTCGTTTCTTTCACCTCACAAAGAACCAGGGTACTGAAAATATAAATTACAGAAACAATTACAAAAATATATATATATACCGAGTTTTTTATCTCACTAGCCAAGCTATTCACACCCTCAGTAAAATTCTCATTTTTTTTGTAGATGTGCAGTGCAAGTTCCAAGAATGTTGCAAGACCGGTCCCATGGTTATGAAAAATGAACACATTTCAAGATCCTGAATAAGAGGTAAATGATTTTTTTTTCTAATTATTTCTAACCTTATTGTATTTCTTGGACAATTTTCTTTGTAATATATTGTATTGTGTTCTCAATAGTGATTCTTTTAAATTTTCTAGATGTGTATTGCAATTTCAAAGAGTGGACATCTCAAGCTGTAGGCTGAAGTGTTTTTGATCACAAAAATGAACACTGTCATTGGAAAGTATATAAAAGGTCTTACAGGGTAATATTTTTATCTTAATTAACATGACATGTTTTGAACATTATATGATTGCCTGTGATTCAGTGGCATAATGGAACCTCCTGAGCCCTAACACCAAAACACCCTCCAGTTTTGTCATTGCTGTGATCAATAGTTTTAAAAATCCCAGTGCTCAGAATATTGCAAAAATAGCATGTTGCTTGTGACACAAAATACAACAAAAATAATAAACACAATTTTTACACCTAAATATGGTGAGTGCAGAATAATTGCACTTTTTTATTCTATTATAACACCACTATTTTGACTTGTATATTAATTGGGAAAATTTCAGTTTTGTGGTCGCTTAATTGATTAAGTTTCGTGTTGCCACTGATCACAGAAAATCTATAATTTTCAAAGCATATTATAAGCATTTCATTAGCAAGCCAGAAATTGACCAACTGTCAAAAATTTTGTTTAACACTGATGATTCAATTTGGACATGCATTTTTTCTGTTTGGCACAATAGCTAAACTTTAAGTGCAGATTACATAAGTTTGTGTCTATCTTTTCTATCTGAGAATTCCAAAGTTTTTGTCGAATATAAAAAAATGAAAAGTTTGTCAGTATTTGGCTTTGTTACATCAGTTAAACATTGAGAAGATTGAGGTGGTCTTTATTACAAACCAAAGCGGTTACTTACAAATAAGACATGTGACTTTATTAGTTTTAACTCAGGATTGAGTATTTTCTTATAGTCATCTTTCATATTTTGGATTAAAGTTGGAGTATGTTTTCATTTAAAAATGATTAAAAGAACATTATGAACATTTGTCTCATCATAATTTGTGTTTTGAACTTGTCAAAGTGCATTGTGAAAACAGTAAACTTATGTTCCGTCTCAATCTTCTCTTGTTTAATTTAGTGGACTTTCGTGTTTGTTGAAAGTTTGGAAAGTTCATCTGAAAATCACAATGTTTCTTTCAATGTTGATTCTGGATGTAATTTGAGATAAAAACCAATTCAGTGATCAATTGAAGTGTGCAATACTTATAAAATTAGCACTGTTAGAACTGCCTTGTTGTTTAATAGTCCTGTCTTATTTATCCCAGCACACTCTTAATACATGAGTTTGATTATTCCTGGATACAAATGAAATGGATTTGTTGAGGAACGAGGCAGTTCTATACAGTACTGACTTATAGGAGGGTTGTGTTCTTCGGTTGTTTTTTTATTCTTATGCCAACCATATTGTGGTTTTCAACAAAATTTGAATTTCGAAAACAAACTTTGTGATTTTTACAAAAAACTTTTCCAACTTTAAAATAAACAGGGTCGAAATAAGCTAGGATATTGTATTTACTTCATTACAAAGTGGAACTTATTGGAATATGGATGAACTGAAGCAGCAAACTATACTTATTTTTTTGGGGAGGGGGGGAGGTGGGGAGGTAATGTGAGATTGAAAAAATGAAAGAATATTGATTGTCATGTATGGCAAGGAAAACCACAACCAGACTACAGGATGATGTTGTTTGGAATATGTTTTGTATTATAGGGAAGGGAAAAAAATCGGCATTCAAAAGTATATATTAATTGTTTGGCAAAGCAATACAACAATTAATTGGAATATTGAGGCTGAAGCTAAGGTTGACAGTTCTTTGTGCTAGGCGTTAATCAAATGCATAATTTGATAAGATTTGAATCAAAATTCAAGCACAGAATTAACCATATTTTTAGTACTTATCAAAATTTGTGTGTATTTCATCAAACACAAGATTGGCGGTCGCTGAGATGCTCTTTATCTACCAAATTTTATAATCTGAATAAAAAGTTATATACTTTAAAATAATCTGACCTACTTATTTGAGTGTGAATTTTTTTAAGCTATTTTTTTAAGCTAATTATTTTATTTTGAATCAGATTCAATTCATTAATTTCGTACTTTGGTTTGGATACTGAGATGAGAAGATTTTTTTTAATTTTTATTGGCTGGTTGTGGTTAATAATTTTTTGGCAATTAAAATTAATTTGTTAGTTTTCTATGTTACATGTATTTCTTTTGCTTCAGTTCAACATCCTTTTCGAATAGTTCCACTGTGTAATGGTGTGTTATAATAGTCAATAATAATATAAGCAAACAGGTTTACATGGCACTCGAACATGGTCTTTTCAGCGAGTATGTAGAGGTAAGTTTATACTTCAAAAAGGGTCTGTTTTTAACCTGACAAGAATGCTATCCAAAATGAACTAAAGTCTGTTCAATCTTTGTGACTATTCAACGAAATTTCATATGTTCAATTGACAACTGCTACTACTGTATATATCTTTTGTTGTTTCTGTTTGGTTTGCTGTTGATACTATAAATTGATGAAAATCCAATATTTAACAATTAATCACTGAGCCTGAGGCGAATAATTGTTTTGGTATTTATACACAAGTCTTTTGTGTTTTTTGGGACTGAATTTATTTTAATTTCGCTTATTTCTTTATCAGTAACTTCCACAAAACGTCTAGCCCCATTTTGAAAATTTCAGTTTTGTTATATTCACCTGTAGCCTGTATGTGAGTATAATAGCTTAATACGTCAAATTTGACCAATCAACTTGTAGGATTTGTTATATCCACTTGTGCAAAAGTACTAAAATATTATGTTTGTAAGTTTGTTGAGAGAGATTCTAAAACTAAGGATTTTATGGAAACTGATTGTTCCTTGTGAGGACTTTGAGCAAAACTGTTTGTCTACTTTTGAGTCAGCAACATACACCCAAAAGTTATTTCCTGTTTTTCATTATGCACAAGCTCTTTTCTAATTGAAATTGAAAATTTCCGTTTGCTTTTGACCAATGTAAATAAAAGTGTAAAAAAATAAGAAAATATTTTATGAACATTTGAAAGTGTTTTCGTTTTAAATTTATAAATAATACAAAACGGGAGAACTTTTCCCTAAGTGAAATTTAGGGCATGTTTGTTTGTAAAATAGTGGATCAATGTGTATCATTTTATTGTATTTATCGAGGACGAGAGATGTACCATTTTCTTAATTTCTTAAGCATAGGCAATTAGGCATAACAAATTGAAACTGATTTTTTTGTTCGAAAAATCAATCAGAACTGGAGAAATAACATTCTTTTAAAATTTTGTTGAACTGCATTTTCATCACTTGAATTAGTATTAACATTATGTATAATCAATTCAAAGTTGTCAGGTTAAAAACGACTCTCAAAGATATATGGCTCCGAAAGACCGCAGGATAATTTCAAATTCTTAAATTCTTGATTGGCACTTGAAAGAAATGTTCTTATATATGTTCAATTGAGTATGGAACCAATGATTTAATCGTAATGTTTCGATGTTTAAAAATATCACTCTGAGTTTAATGAAGTATGCTGTCAATGCATTGTGAAAATGTTAAGGTACTTTGAGAAATTAATTTGCTTCCAGCAATTGGAATTTGTTGTCGACGACAATGTCTACCCAACCACTTGACAACTGATCTCGCATTACAACGAATTGACTTCCCTTAGCATCTAAACATCGCGATAAAATCATTATTTTCCATACTCAAGCGAAAACTTTGGCCACTTTACCAAAAACAGTTAGTTGTATTCAAAAGAGTAAAAGCATATTCGATTTACTTTGTCTTTGAGCCATATATTTTCTTTGTAAAACAACCTGATGTTATACGCTTTCTCCGTCAAACTCGTAAAATTTATCATTAGAGTTGTTTTACAATATTTATTTTGAAGTATAAACAATTTATCTTTAAAAGACCAGGTTCTCTTGTTTCCTCAAGAAACAAGTTTTTTAATGTTGTGTTTTCACTTGTGCTTATTCACTTGTGTTGAACACAATAATAATTGTTCTCTTCGTGCCATGTTCTGTTTTCTTCTATTGTTATTTAAATAGGTGTGCAGTGGTTGTTCTCTTTTTATTGATATTCAATTTGTAATTACAATTCTTTTCAATAAATTGTTCATTAATTATACAAGAGACTCCTTTTTAATTAAAAATTCAATTCCCATGGGAATTGAAAAAAAAAATTAAAAAAATTCCCCTACCCCGGCCGGCTCCCCAAGTACTACCTCTACTTCAAGCAGAAGTACTTCTACTACATAGTAAAAGTACTTCTACTTAAAGTAGAGGTAGCACTCGGAGAGCCAGCCGGGGTAGCGAGGCGAAGAGAAGACCAACCTTGCAAATGCTAAACAATGCAAATTGCTAAGTCGATCTTCTCTTGAGAGCAGCCACGCGCATACCTAGCAAATGTAAACAACAAGCATTAGTAACAAATACTCGGCATGCAAATTTTGAATCCCATGGCCGAAATGACAAGTGCCCCCCACTGATTCCTACCAACTGCCTACCTGCCTCAGTCCTAAGCTGTCTGCCTCAGTCCTAAGCTGTCTGCCTCGGTCCTAAGCTACCTGCATCCCATTCGTAACTTCCGCTTTCCTCACCATCACACAGACACTCACAACTGCCCAACCTGCCACCAGCCCGAACTGCCCACCCTTAAAACTGAAGGAATTAAAATTTTGGTAAAGTATACATAATTAATTTAATTAATCGGATATTTTAGGCCAAACGTAAACAGATAAATTGAGAAAGACCGCGTATACAAACAGGTGAGTTTCTTACTTGCCTCTTAATATACATGTAATTTACATAGAAAAATATATGAAACCCGGATTTTTCGGTTTTTTGTTCTATATTACTTGACTAGCAGACTATAATTTTAGTTTAAATAACGAAACTGAATAAATTTTGCTGACGTTAGGAAATTAGTCCTTTTGTTCCGAAAGATATTTTCTTTTTAAATATGCTGTCAAAATTTTAATTCCTTTAGTTTTGCCTAACCCCATGCATCCTATACACACGGCGCACACTCTCGCACTCCATACATTTAGTTAATAAATTACATTATAAACAAAAAAGCAAAATAAAAAGATAAATTACGTTATCACTAGCTATCCTATAACCCACTTAGACTGAGTTTTGGATTCTGGTTCGAAACGTAAAATCTTAACTGAAAGGGTCTGGGCTTGAGTTTTGTTAACTGGTCCGAAATAAATATATACAAACCTTAAACTTACCTAAACCAAAGGCTCGATTAAATAAGCATGAGAATGCATAGAATCATTTTAAAAACTTTTTCATAAGAATTTAAAATCCAAATGAAAATTACAATATCGCTAGTTTAGTGAGCATATAGTATTGTTTCTTTATATAGTTCAAACAGATCGAAACAGACTTAACCGCAATTCTCATACTTATTTAACCGGAACGCCTTGATGACATTTGCATGGCACGTCGCAGCTGCTCTCAAGCACTTCCGTAATTTGCCTTAGGGCAGACAAACAAGATACTTATCATATAATCAAAGAGGATTCATTCATTATAAAGTCAAATTTCCACTATGAAATCAACATCAACATGAAAACAAAGCATATATATTCCCCTGGGAATTGAAAATACGGGAAAAAAATAAAATTGCAAAATACCTTTACGCTTGCGCAAAATAAAAACAAATTGGCATAAAAACAAAGTATAGTATATTCCCATGGGAATTATTAAACACACGGAAAATAAATCCACCAGTTCTTAACTTTTTAACACTTGAAATACTAAGGGTTGCTTGTTTTCATCTTATGTTGATTCATTGTGAATACAAGACTTATCCCATAGTTAATTAACAGAATATAAACATGGATAGGGACCGCATCCGCGACAGTGATTTTATTATCAACACCAGCTTAGGATGAGAAGAGGAAATGCTTGTTGCTAGATTCCAAGCCATGTTTATTTTACATTAACTATTTGGGTGACGCGGATTAATATTTTGTTTTCAGAAAAGACTACAATCGAAAATATTCCAGGCAAGATTTCATCCTTTTAAGGTATTGTTACTATTGGATCTTTTTTATGCAAACATTTCTCTAGTATCAATTTTGGAAACTTTTTTGTTGTTTTCAAAAAACTTTTATGAAATGATACGTTACCATACAGACTCTAGCTCGTCGCAAAAACATTGCGTTATCGTGTTTTTGAAAGCTTTATTCAAACGTTTTATCTGATTTGGAGGGCAATTATTTCTATAGTCCAAAACTGGAAAACAAAGTCGAAAAAAATCGGCAAACTCGTAGCATGCTTATAAATTTTAATGAGAAAATCATTGTATTCACTTGAATCCCCTTTGATTTTTAAATAAGTATTCTGTCTTTAACTAACTTACATTGGTAACATTTTTCGCTACTTTCCTATTATTTTCCGATTGTTGCGAATCGTGATTCTTTTCCTGTCTCCATGCCATTTGTGAGTGGCTCTTTTTGAATTTTGGACTTTTCATCGTCTCTTTTCAACACATCAACATTTCATCACATCACCTTTTGCTGGAAATTAAAAAGTATCCATGAGTCCATGAAATATGATCGAATCATGTTAATTAAAGGTATTTGGTAGAAAAGGAACTTAATGAATAATATCTATATGTAAATTGTCAGGATTTTTTTAACAGATATTCATGCAGTCCTCCAATATTAAGGGCTTCGGCCCCAATTCAACGGCATTATTATCCCATAATCAACAATTTCGAATTGCGTGGTAATATTAATTGATCATTTGAAACATGAAATATTTAACAGTTATTCTACGAACTCGAGTCGAATATGGGCTGATAGTGCCGAATTGGCTATCGCTCATATTCGACGAGAGTGAGTGCAATAACTGTTTTATTATATACACAAGGTCTGGATATGAGGTATTCTGCAATCTTATTGGTTCTCTACTTGCAGCAGGATATTACTAGTCCATATCCTGCTAGTAGAGAAAAACAAAATGGCGGCTCAAACTGAATTTCCGACGTTTCGCGAACGAGAAAACGGCAATTTGTTCCCTTTTGATATAGCCTTTACACGATTAAAAACACAATAAAGAACTCCCACAAATTGTTTACAGGTTGGCAAATGAATTCTTAAAATGGCTAAAAATATATATTTTTGAATAAATAATCGGCCGAAAGAGCGAAGATAAATACATAAACAAAATAGAAAAACATTGAAAATATCCGAAAAACGAAATCTGTGAATTTAGACCTTGTGTTTATAATAAAACAGTTATTCGACTCACTCTCGTCGAATATGAGCAATAGGCGATTCGGCGCTACGTGCCTCATTGGCTATTAGCTCATATTCGACTCGAGTTCGTAGAATAACTGTTAAATATAATTAATAATGTCGACCCTAGACCCTTTATTCGACTGGTTTTGGCAGGTTTTGGTCAATTTAAGGCTAGCATTTGCTAAGTATGACGTCGCATGCTTTCGCCCATCCTCCACCCCGCCCTCAAAGCGCGTGGCTCCCAGTCTTCTCGTGTAAAAGCGCCCAAATTAAAAATAGAAAGTCAAGGTGTATAGGCTGATGGAGCATGTGACGTTACGGCAACCATGTTGTAGGGCAATATCCAGTGAGGCGGCAGGGTGTAGGACGAATTTGTGTTGCCATCATGCGGTAACCCATTACTTCTTTTTGAAACAACAAAAAAGGAGAAATTTTGTTTGCGCACGCATCAAAATTGGCGCGGTGACCAGATGGAAGGCCTGATCTGGGCAGGGTAAACGTAACATTTCATTTTTGAAATTATAGTTGTTGGTATGGGCATTTGTGCCGTTCCGAGTGCAATTTGAAAACAACATGCAAAAGTATATTGCACGAGTCTGAAGTACGAGTGCGATTTGAAAACTTTGGAAAAATCACGAGTGTATGTTCTCCAAATTGCACTCTCGAGACCGTATTATTACTTATTATTATTATATGGCAAGCATCATTTCCGCTGAAATGGCGCACTGTGATTGGCTGAGAATGCTTTCAGCGGTCGATTATTTTCCCGTAATGTAACGGACCGGCGATCCATTACGTAAACACAAACGCGTGCACAGTGGCGGAAATCTTGGTGGGGCGGCCGCCCCCGCCCCCCCCCCCCACCTTCCGGAAAATTGACGAATTTTCGGAAATTTTGGTCTAAAAGAGGGCTAAAAACAGTCTTTTCGAGTGCAAATGGGGGGGGGGGTATGTCGGAAATTTGAAAGTTTTGTCGCAAATTTGGGATGCTTTGCCCACACCACCCCCCCCCCACCGGAAAAGTGAATTTCCGCCACTGCGCGTGCATTTTAAAACAAAACAGCAAAACTAATTGAAAATTTGAAATTGTAATTTAATTTGTTATTAATAGGAAATCTGCGAGTGGTTTTTAGTGGAAAGGAAGGAATATATTGGCATTTTTGTTTTCTTCGACCAAATGTGTACCACGCTACTAATATGCATTTCAAATCATGACTTTCTTGTTTTTCTTCAAGTATAAATGCCAATAAATGCCATATAATAAACTTTTTATTAACCTCGCTTGCTCGGTATGCACAGAGAAATATCGGATCTCGGTCTTTTTGTACAAACCTCGTCCTCCCGGCTCGGTCTGTACAAAGAAGGCCTGAGTCTAATATTTCTCTGCACAGAGCTCGCGTTCGGTTAATAAGAATTTAATAATATATACATGAGAAAATTATACAGAAGCAAATTCATGGTCACTTCCAGACACGAAACACATTTTTGATGGAATCATTTTTTATTTTCTCTTACCTTGAAAACTTACGTTTTACTCTCGTCTGGACGATGTTTTAGGATCTGTTGGTTGTAGGTCTTCCTCTGCTGGTCGTTCCATCTTGGGCACTCTCGCTGGATTCCTCTTCACACCATATAACAACCTTTAGTAACAAAATAGATTGAATATTTCACCTCACTTATTACAGGAAACATTTACTTAATATACTTTTAAAGATAGGAATGCTAAAATGTCTTTAAGTTTTTAGTACATAAAAGTCAGGGTGTAGCATATCGCACAGAACTCAAGTGGCGGACACCAGGGGTCAGCCCCTCCCCCCTCAATAATTTCTGAAAGCCTTCGAATGATAGCTCAATAACTGTGTAACAAAGCCGTAACAATAAATTTTTTAAACACGAATTTTCAATCAAGCTATATATTGTGTGAAATTTAAGGCAAAGAAGATTACATAATTGAGATTTCCATACATATCTTATATACACTAGATAGTGCATCTAATTATTCTGTAATTCAAAAATTGAAGCCGTGATTGCAGTCTCAGGTCGTTCCCATGAAATGAGAAGATTCGCATGTTTTCTATTTCTTAAACAGGGAACTTAAACATTAAGTTAACCCTATTCCAAATACGTTTTTAAACTATTCAAATGATGAAAGTTATTGTTGTTTTTAAGCGTTTATTAGCAAGTGGGAACGACCAACATGGCCGCCATCTATTCAAATTGGGGTAACCCATGGAATCTTTTTGGCTTCAATTTTACTAAAAGAGATGCGCTATCTAGTGTATATAAGATATCTATGGAGATTTCCAGCTACAGAAGGTGGTGATATCAGTTTCCGCAACTATATTCGCCTACAATATTTCGCGTGTGCCGTTACGGCTGAGTAAGAAGAATAGGGTGTGGCGATCAATACAAGTTATTGTCTCGTCGCCTAGGACAAAAATATTTACATTATTGCTTAAATTACGTATACGCCAGCAAAACTTACATTCACTGTATCTGTGCATCGTCGTTGCTTCTGTTTTGTTGGTCGCGGTTCTTTATTTCTGGCGATGATCCATCATGGTCCGCTCAATTGACAGTGCACCACCATAAAAAATGGAAACAATTCGGTTAACAAGCGCAACAACAGGACTTACAAATGATTTGAACGCTAAATTTGACTTATAGATATTTTAAGTCAAATAATACTAAACTTAATGTGCTAAATCCGTGTGAAAATAAAATGCCGTGGCATACGTAATGAGTAATACATAAAAAATAAACAGAATTCTCTTAATTGTATAGAACATAAATAACAGTGACAAACCGTACATTTGCTATCATCTTTGGATAGTTGTGGCTTCTTTTGGTCGTCATGCATTCTGAGGACGTGTTCTACCACATTCTCATTGGCTTGTTCGGTTGTTCTTCTCTGCTCTCGCTTTGATTGCGTCGTCCAATTGTTGCCTTCATATCACTCTACCAACAAATATGCAATAAAAATTTTAGGAAAAAATTTAACAAGAAAAGGCAAGAGGAAATTTTACGATGTAGGGCAGACTTTTTGAACAATTGTTACTTGTTGAAAGGCAACTAGTATCATAGGCAAACCAGCAAATATATGTATTCACTTAAAAATGCGTTAAAAACATTTACAAATGCGCATAAAGTTCGCCTGACTTTGCTATCTGGCGCTTTATTGTGTAGCTCTTTATATATGCGAACTTGCATGATTACGCCATGGATTGTGATATAGTGGAATATCCTAAAGCCTTAGGATATTATACTATACAGGGTGTATAAAAAAAAACTGAACAGATTTGAAATTGCTCTCAATTTCGCAAAACACCTATTTGTAGCTGGTTTTTTATATATATAGGTTCTTTGGGTACTTAAAATGTAAAATAATGAAAAAAATTTCTCGAACTCAAATTTTGTGAACCAGGGGGGGGGGGGGTGCCCTTTCCAACAAACTAAAAATGGCTCGCGCACAAAATTCAAAAGCTGTAATCATATTTTGAGTTAATAGATTGAAAATTGGTCGGGTTTTTAATTACTGTACAAAATTTCATACAATTTGGTTTAGTTTAAGTCCTTTAACTATTCATTTTGTTCTAAAAAGTCAGCCTTTCGCATGCTTAATTAATGCGTTTACCTAATTTGCATATTTCTGACATATGCAAATTAGGCAAATGCATTAATTAAGCATGCAAATAGCTGATTTTTCGGGAAAATTGTAACTTTGCGTGAATAGTTAAGGGGCTTAAACTAAACCAAATTGTCTGAAATTTTGTACAGTAATTAAAATCCCTACAAATTTTCCATCTGTTAACTCAAAATATGATTGCAGCTTTTAAATTTTGTGCGCGAGCCATTTTTAGTTTGTTGGAAAAGACACACCCCCTGGTTAACAAAATTTGAGTTCGAGAAATTTTTTTCATTATTTTACATTATAAGTACCCAAAGAAGCTATATATATAAAAAACCAGATACAAATAGCTGTTTTGCGAAATTGAGAGCAATTTTAAATCTGTTCAGTTTTTTTTATACACCCTGTATAACGATACAATGACTATCATACGAGTCTGCATACATAATGAGCCATACAATAAAGCACTAATAGCAAAGTCAGAAAGTTATTTCTAATTTTAAGGCGTTTTTAAGTAAAATACATATATTTTCTGCGTTGCCTATGCTAGTATCTGAGCTATAGAAAATACTATCTGAATAGCATAAATTTTTTACCAAAAATGACGTCATTGTCGTTGTTATGGTAACCATGACGTTTCATTAAAACGTTAAAACGTTCTCAATTCCTGAAAATAATTAATTAGACATCTTTTTAAAAAGCTCGCCAGTCTAGAATTTTTTTAATCGCAAAAAATACGTTTTAAATTTTAAGAAATCTACAATGGCAATTTTTTTTTGAAGTTGGTTAAATAATTATTTTCACTAATCGAACGATTAACAAGATAAAAAGTGGAGTCACCGTTCTATTTTTAGAATTAAATTAGTTTAAAGCCAAAGAAAACCGGTCATATTAAAACGTCATGGCTACCATAGCAACAGCACTGACGTCAATTTTAACAAACATTTCATATTCTTCAGGTAGTATTTTCCATAGCTCAGATACTATTTCCATAGATATCTTATATACACTAGATAGTGCATCTAATTATTCTGCAATTCAAAAATTGAAGCCGTGATTGCAGTCTCAGGTCGTTCCCATGAAATGAGAAGATTCGTATGTTTTCTATTTCTTAAACAGGGAACTTAAACATTAAGTTAACCCTATTCCAAATACGTTTTTAAACTATTCAAATAGTGAAAGTTATTGTTGTTTTTAAGCGTTTATTAGCAAGTGGGAACGACCAACATGGCCGCCATCTATTAGTGATGGGCGATACGATCGAAAAAGTATCGAAATCATCGATACTTACAAAAGTATCGATACTTTCGATACTCGCAAAAAGTATCGGTAATTCGATACCACTTGAGCCTGCGATGTTTTTGGTCAGTATTCCTGACCAATCACTTAATGCTTCATGAAGGCAACAGACTGAAGGCCCCTGAAGGCAAAAAATGTTGACATGCTGCTGTTCTTAAACAAAAACATGTAGCTAATTAGCAGTATATTTGAGGAAAACATTGTTGTTTTGATTTAAAATCATAATTGCAAATGTTATGTTCGATTATTTGGCAGGTACTCCAGTTAGAGTATTCTTTGACTTGTTTTAAACATTAATGTTTGTGTTTTAAAAGTTATTTTAATAAATGGAAAAAATTGAGTATCGGTATCGATTTTGGTATCGGTATCGACCAAAATTCATGGTATCGGACTGGTATCGTATCGAAACCAAAAAAGCTGGTATCGCCCATCACTACCATCTATTCAAATGGGGGTAACCGCTGTAATATTCTTGGCTTCAATTTTACTAAATGAGATGCGCTATCTAGTGTATATAAGATATCTATGAAAATTTCCGATTGAACAAGTAAAAATTGTTAAAAAATCTACCCAAAATCGTAAATTTTCCAGCTGCCAAAAAAACCCCCAGTAAGGAGACAGCTTGAGCCAAAATATGCGCCATATTGAAACGTCATGATCGCCATGGCGACGAAAGTTTTAGGAGGAGTTAATTTTTTATCCGTCAACTTCTAAAGTCACCTGCAATATATCGTGTATATTTAATTTACCAGAGAAAAAAAAAACAACTCACCATCTTCTGCTGTTCGGTTTTTTTGGCCACGGTTTATCTTGGCTTTGTAGATTCACTAAAGGGAATTAAAAAATAGCTGATTAATTTTTAGATATATCAAATAAAATAGCGACAGTTTTCAGGTAAATTAAGGCTGTGCTTTGCAGCAGGGTGGGGGGGGGGTACCTGTAAATTGTTTCAGGGGTGTGGCGATCTTTTATCTCACAGGGTTATTGAAGATTTGCAATGGAACATGACTATTGTATCATTTGATAATAATCATCTTGTTGTGGTATTGAAATGTATGCAATGAACGAATTTTTAGGTAACATTTTTAGAGAAATAAAAGGACAAAATATTAAATGAGTTAGTAAAAAGTAAAATAAGTAAAACATAATAGCTTTATACATTAAGAGTAATTGTATAATAACTTACAGGGTATCACATATAACATATTGTTGACTTTCAACACCATTGAAGCAGTTCCGTTCCATTTTCTTGATTGGACAAGAAGACGTCCGCCATTTTGTCTTTGACCAGCATGATTTAACTTTGAAATTTCTCAATAATTTCTTCATCATTCCTCTTCCAATTTGGCCCAACATTTAACAAAACGTCCATTATGGTCTCGTCGCAATTTCTAAAGCGTTTAATTGACTTCTTTTTTTTTATTTTGGCAGAAAATAAAGAATTTTGGCGTGATTTTCATCCATTTTTTTAGATGTTCCGTTGCTCGAAGCCATGCTGTAACTGACGTCACAAAGCATTGATTCATGGTATATATATCCCGTATGTACAAAATTGAATTTCGGTATCCCTGTTTACGAAGCTATAAAGCTTTATTTCTAGCTTAAATTGAGGGTTTTTAGCCACAACTTTCAACTCAGATATTTCTTATATTTCTTCCTTTATAGTTATTTTTTTATTTCGCTCAAAAAACGCTCATGAAGAGCGTTTGGGCGTGTTTTTTTTATTTGCATGCTAATGAGTGCGGAAAGACATGTCCGATTTGTCGGTTGAGTTTAACTTTTCCTCCGTGGCCGAATGGTAACGGCAACTGTATTGGGAAAAGCCACGCCCTTTGGTGTTTGCTGTGGATCGTCCCTCGCTTGCGACAACACAGGAACGAACCTAAAGGGTGTGAGTCACTCTCGAAAACAGTTGCCGGTACCGATAGGCTACTGAAGGAACGTTTAAACCTGCAGTAAATTTCTTCTACTTAATCATTTACCTTATGCTTGCCAGCCGGGGACTTGCATTTCGGGGGCCACCCAAAACAACAAGCTGCCGTGCAAGAAGGGCAATACAATTGCAGTGTAACACTACAACTGTACTGTCCTTCGTGCACGACAGCAAGTCGTTTTGGGCTAAACAACTAGATTTGTAGGACAAATCTAGTCGTTTTCCAAAAAACGACTAGATTTGTCGTACTATATAGGGCCGATTTCGTTGCAATGATTGTGGTGCACTATATTTTCTTGCTTCTGCGCAGTCGTATCTTCTTGAATAAAGTTGTATATGGTACTCAAAACTTGTCCTTGAAAGGACCATGTATTCTTGCGTGGTTCCGGGTTAGATTCCCAGAGCATTTTATGTACTTATATACAACTTTCTTAGCGCAACTCTATGCAAGCTATGGAGAAGCTTATGATGTAAGTTATCATGGCCGACAAACCAATGACAGTAGTTTTATATAGAAGATGAAATGTATAATAAACCGCAAGGTTTCTTACTGTACCAGGAATTGAAGAAATACTGTTGTAACCACCCAGTCACAACAACGTAAAAGTTATGGCTGTTTCTTCCACATGCAACGAAGCTTTAAATGACATTATCAACAGTGTCCTCGATAGAAGTCATTTATGAGGCATTCGGTTTAAGATTCCCAGAGCATGTCCGTACCATTTCACAACTTACGATACAACTTATTACGGACGATAAACTAATAATTGAGAACGAAGTGTGAATGAAGGTACAAAGGTTTAATCTTTGGATATGAGGATAAGATAATATTCCGGAGCACGTTTCATGTGATATTTAACCGTGACAAATTACAATACTCGAGTTATCGAGCATGTATAATATAGTCTATACTATATAGGTATAGTTAAATTTCAATATCAACACACATTTTACTCGAGGCATTTAATAGTGCAACTCCGTGTATACCATTTCGCAACTTACGATACAACTTATATATACGGACGATAAACTAGTAATTGAGGACGAAGTGTGAATTAAGCTAGAAGGTTTAATCTTTGTATAGGAGGATAAGATAATATTCCGGAGCATGTTTCTTGTGATATTTAACCGTGACAAATTGCAATACTTGAGTTATCGAGCATGTATGATATAGTCTTTAATAGTAAGGTAAATCTAGACGATATAGTAGGTATAGTTAAATTTCAATATGAACACTCATTGTATTCAAACGGCGTTAACTAAACGCCTCGAGTAAAATGAGTGTTCATATTGAAATTTAACTATAGCTATATAGTATAGACTATATTATACATGCTCGAAAACTCAAGTATTGTAATTTGCCACGGTTAAATATCACAAGAAACATGCTCAAAATTATCTCATCCTCCTATCCAAAGATTAAACCTTGTAGCTTCATTCACACTTCGTTCACAATTATTAGTTTATCGTCCGTAATAAGTTGTATCGTAAGTTGCGAAATGGTGCGGACATGCTCTGGGAATCTTAAACCGAATGCCTCATAGGTCTCATAGATTACTTCTATCGAGGACACTGTTGATAATGTTATTTAAAGCTTCGTTGCATGTGGTCGAAAAAACAGCCATAACTTTTACGTTGTTGTGACTAGGTGATTACAACAGTATTCGGTCAATTCCTGGTACAGTAAGAAACCTTGCGGTTTATTGTACATTTCATCTTCTATATAAAACTACTGTCATTGGTATGTCGGCCATGATAACTTACATCATAAGCTTCTCCATAGCTTGTATGGAGTTGCGCTAAGAAAGTTGTATATAAGTACATAAAATGCTCTGGGAATCTAACCCGGAACCACGCAATAAGAATACATGGTCCTTTCAAGGACAAATTTTGAGTACCATATACAACTTTATTCAAGAAGATACGACTGCGCAGAAGCAAGAAAATATAGTGCACCGCAATCATTGCAACGAAATCGGCCCTATATAGTACGACAAATCTAGTCGTTTTTTGGAAAACGACTAGATTTGTCCTACAAATCTAGTCGTTTAGCCCAAAACGGCTCGCTGTCGTGCACGAAGGACAGTACAGTTGTAGTGTTACACTGCAATTGTATTGCCCTTCTTGCACGGCAGCTTGTTGTTTTGGGTGGCCCCCGAAATGCAGGTCCCCGGCTGGCAAGCATAAGGTAAATGATTAAGTAGAAGAAATTTACTGCAGGTTTAAACGTTCCTTCAGTAGCCTATCGGTACCGGCAACTGTTTTCGAGAGTCACTCACACCCTTTAGGTTCGTCCCTGTGTTGTCGCAAGCGAGGGACGATCCACAGCAAACATCAAAGGGCGTGGCTTTTCCCAATACAGTTGCCGTTACCATTCGGCCACGGAGGAAAAGTTAAACTCAACCGACAAATCGGACATGTCTTTCCGCACTCATTAGCATGCAAATAAAAAAAACACGCCCAAACGCTCTTCAGGAGCGTTTTTTGAGCGAAATAAAAAAATAATTATAAAGGAAGAAATATAAGAAATATCTGAGTTGAAAGTTGTGGCTAAAAACCCTCAATTTAAGCTAGAAATAAAGCTTTATAGCATCGTAAACAGGAATACCGAAAATTCAATTTTGTACATACGGGATATATATACCATGAATCAATGCTTTGTGACGTCAGTTACAGCATGGCTTCGAGGAACGGAACATCTGAAGAAATCGATGAAAATCACGCCAAAATTCTTTATTTTCTGCCAAAATATAAAAAAAGAAGTCAATTAAACGCTATAGAAATTGCGACGAGACCATAATGGACGTTTTGTTAAATTTTGGGCCAAATTGGAAGAGGAATGATGAAGAAATTATTGAGAAATTTCAAAGTTAAATCATGGTGGTCAAAGACAAGATGGCGGACGTCTTCTTGTCCAATCAAGAAAATGAAACGAAACTGCTTCAATGGTGTTCAAAGTCAACAATATGTTATATGTGTTACCCTGTAAGGTATTATATAAGTACTCTTAATGTATAAAGCTATTATGCTTTATTTGTTTTACTTTTTACTAACTCATTTAATATTTTATCCTATTTTTCTTAAAAAAATGTTACCTAATAATACGTTCATTGCATACATTTCAATACCATAACATGATGATTACTGTCGAATTGATATAGTAGTCGTCCATTGGACATTTTCACCTAAATATAACCCTGTTACATAAAAAAATTCACCCCCCCTAAAATTATATTACAGGTCCCCCCAACACAGCTTTAATTTATCTGTAAAATATCGGTATATTATTTAATATATATATAAATAATAATTAATGAGCTATTTTTTTAATTCCCTGTAGTGAATCTATCAAAGCAAGATAAACCGTGCATGGCTATAGAGAGTGAACAGCAGAAGATGGTGAGTTTTTTTTTCTCTGGTGAATTAATTTACACGATATATTGAATCAGACTTTAGAGAGGGTGGGAAAGGGTATTTTCGTGAGCCGTGAATGGTGAATATTTGTTCGTGTGAAATGTGAAATGCTTGATTTTAGTGTCGTGAAATGTGATTTGTTCTACAGCCGTGAGGCGTGATTATTGATAAAAATGCTCCGTGAAATGAGAATTAAGGATGCCTGTTTCGTGAACTGTGATTATTATAGTGATTATTATAATAAACCTGATACGCGATAATCAAATTTATATGATCTCACTCGATTGCAAAAGAGTAAAAACTTCGGAGGCCTTTCGCGACGTTCCTGACGCTGAGGACAAGGTTCCTGACGCTGAGGAAAAGGTTCCTGGCGGTGACGACAATGTTCCTGGCGGTGAGGACAAGGTTCCTGGCGGCGAGGACAATGTTCCTGGCGGTGAGGAAAAGGTTCCTGACGGTGAGGACAAGGTTCCTGGCGGTGAGGACAAGGTTCCTGGCGGTGAGGTCAAAGTTCCTGGCGGTGAGGACAATGTTCCTGGCGGTGAGGACAAGGTTCCTGGCGGTGAGGACAAGGTTCCTGGCGGTGAGGACAAGGTTCCTGGCGGTGAGGACAAGGTTCCTGTCGGTGAGAGCAATGTTCCTGGCAGTGAGGACAAGGTTCCTGGCCGTGAGGACAAGGTTCCTGGCCGTGAGGACAAAGTTCCTGTCGGTGAGGACAAGGTTCCTGGCGGTGAGGACAAGGTTCCTGGCGGTGAGGACAAGGTTCCTGGCGGTGAGGACAAGGTTACTGGCTGTGAGGACAAGGTTCCTGGCGGTGAGGACAAGGTTCCTGGCGGTGAGGACAAGGTTCCTGGCGGTGAGGACAAGGTTCCTGGCGGTGAGGACAAGGTTCCTGGCGGTGAGTACAAGGTTCCTGGCGGTGAGGACAAGGTTCCTAGCGGTGAGGACAAGGTTCCTGGCGGTGAGGACAAAGTTCCTGGCGGTGAGGTCAAGGTTCCTGGCTGTGAGGACAAGGTTCCTGGCGGTGAGGACAAGGTTACTGGCGGTGAGTACAAGGTTCCTGGCGGTGAGTGCAAGGTTCCTGGCGGCGAGGACAAGGTTTCTGGCGGTGAGGACAAGGTTTCCGGCGGTGAGGACAAGGTTCTTGGCCGTTTGGACAAGGTTACTGGTGGTGAGGACTAGGTTCCTGACGCTGAGGACAAGGTTCCTGGCGCAGAGGACACGCACTCAAACTTGTAAGTTATGATGTAGTTTTTAACTGACGGGTAGAGAAATGAGAGAACTCAAACCGTAGATACTGTACCATGCATTAAACATAGTCTTAATAAACCTATTATTAATATATTATTTTATGAGAATCTAGTTTTCCGTGAAATTGCTTTTTTAAGACACGTGAATCGTGAAATGGCTTTTTTTCGTTGGAAACGGTGATCCATACCCCCCCCCCCCCATTCCCACCCTCATTGATTATAAACTGGCATCGGCGCCATGCAGGGCACCATACTGCATTGTTTAAATTTAGCACTTTGGTTTGGAAACAAGATAGAGCATTCGCTGCCTTACTAACTGTGAAATTGAGAGATTGATCACACGTCTATTAAAAGTAGTAAACACAGAAACACTCTCAAATGCCTTTCAAAACCACAAGTACAGAATCATCAAATAATACCACCTCTGGAATATTGTTGCCATGGTTTTACTGCTGACCTCTATATAATATGTGTACAGGCATAAAATCAACAACTGCATCTGATATTGACAGGAAGGTTGTGTTGCCAACTATGAACAAGTTGTCAACAATGTTGTTGCAAGTTTTGCTGACAACTTGTTCATAGTGGGCAGCACAACCTTGTTCACGTCTGTCAATATCTCCTGGGAACAAGTTGTTGATTTTCTCAATTTTTACGCTTGTACTGTTGTGCTTTTTATTACAGATTCAGAAACCATCACATTTTAAAGATTCTCTTGAGTCTATGACTGTATTTTTTTTATATTCAATGTATCATATAGGATGTAGATGTATTAGGTAAAGACTGTCCAATTTGTCCAAAGTATAAATCTATTACGGCAAATTATATATTAGGATCATGTACTGCATATGTCTCTTTCAAACTTTATGCTTTCAGAATCAGTTAAGTTTATATACTCCAGTATATTGCTATTTGATGAAGCCATACTTTAGTATTTATTCAATTTATTTTGATGAAGGTTTGAAAACTTTAAATTCTACCCGGAGGAAATTTGAACAGGTTTTGCAACTCTGACATCCAACCACGCCATCAGCCCATTGAAAACATTAGGTCACGTCAACTTGTTTCCTATCCATTTATTTTATTATCCATGGCAATACAAAGACGATGGGACAAACATTTTAAAACGCAATACATCCTTCGGAAAAGGATAGGAAAGTCTTGGTTGTCAAGCCTTGTTTATATGATAAATGCTTCAGCTAGTTTAATTAGAACCATTTGGGAGCATGGCCGTGGCGACCGGAGGAGGGGGGGGGGGTAACACACCAGCCAATGATACTTTTTGTGTGTGTTGGTGTTATGCCCTCAGGTGAATATGATGTTTGTAGTACCAGCCAATATTAGTTTATGAGTAACTTTATATAAATTTAGAGGTACCTCGTTATTAATTTATGATCATGTATTAGTTTATGAGTAGCTTCAGGTAATTTAGAGGTATCTCGTTAGAGATACCTCGGTTTATGGAAGAACTGGCAAGCAAATGTGGAAATTAAAATTGAACGCAAGCCAAGAATGCAAAATTATGAGATATAAATATTCAAGTTTCCACGTTTGTGATTTTAGCTCCGTATTCCACTATACTACAATATATTTCGAAAGAAATACATGCTACTTGAATGTACTAATCTACCTATACATCCTCACCCCCCCCCCATCCCCCCATTAACGATAAAATCTTCACTACGTTCTTGGAGCTGACCTTTACTTACTTATTCGAAATTGAAAAGGGGGATGGCACTGTCAAAAGGACACCTATTGATGTTTCTTTTGGGCGAGATATTCTGAGGTTTTCCTCTCTTTCCAAAAACTGACCCTTTGCAGGCTACGGGTTAGCTGACTTGCGTCTGCGGGGCCATCTTCGTTGGAAATGATCATAAAAATACTTTAGTTCACCTGTTTTACTTTTCCGTTTGGAAGCTTGATCCAATAGAAGCTATTTACGCAATTCCCAAATTGTCTGCAACATCTGAGCAATCTTTGGCGGGTGAAAACCTCTCGCCAATTTCTGGAGAGCCTAAAACGCCAATTAACTGAACAATTATTATATATATATATATATATATATATATATATATATATATATATATATATATATATATATATATATATATATATATATATATATATATATATTATTCATCGCGAACTGAATAGGCCTACCGTATATTTTTAAAGAATATGTCACACATTTTCTGCAAATGGCAAGGAGAACTATAGTTATTATTTTGAAGACGTTAGTTTTAACTCACATACAGGCGCAGATCACTTTTATGTTTTAAATAAATATAATAAAACAATTGTCATTGATTTCGATTTTCGACAGGTTACATAAATTCCGGATGCTCAACAGATATATTTTCTAAGTGCAGACAAATCTTTGAGGTCCCAAAAATGTCCGCTTCATGGGGATATCGATTCGACTGTATCAAGATTTAGAATGAAAATTCGTTTTAGACCAAAGTTCTTCCTCTTCCGAAAATTTTTCAGTCGTATGGAAATTGTAGTTCGTTTTTTCCATTTTTGAACAACAACGAAGTGATTTGCTGAAAGTATTTATTTGCATGTCTTACCGTCGGTATTCATCCACTGATAAATGCTGTTACTACCGGCAGACTTCGTACAAATCAAAACTTTTTCTTCTCCACTCATGGTTTTGTAGGATATACTTTGATCCTGGGTTTTCTTACCACATACCTACGCAATTGAAAAAAGTAATATTCTAAGCTTGCAAAAAATCTCAACATAGCCCATTGGTGAACTACAGTACTTTGACTAAGTTCAACTGTCCAATAACTGTATATACATCAACAACCAACTAGAAATCATATATGGGGCTCATTTCTTAGAGGCATGGTAAATATCTCCTTACGAAAACAATTTATTCACAAATTGTTGCAATATTCAACTACTAAACTTGCAACTTGTGCTCCCATTAAGCTTTGCGCGCTTAGAGTTTAAGGTTTAGAGTGTAAGGTTTGCAAAGGACAATCTTTTTTGAATTTTCTGTTAACAGACCATCGAGCGAAACCATCGAGCGAAGAGCTCCTCCACATTAATCATTCTAGTTACAAATTTAGTCATTGTGCTTTTCTCACCCCCCCCCCCCTCTCATTATTAATGACCGGTCCCAAGGGAAATTTGAGGACACGAAGTCCTTTTAAGTTACACATCTGGTCATACTTAATCTGAGGTTATAATGCAAATTTTAAATTTGACCAAACAGTGTTCGCTATTCACGATAGTCCGCCAATACCGCCATATTTTTGAGGTCAGTGAGGATAACCACCCTTGAACGGTGAACCATTGCCATGCGCCCATGATTATTGATGAACTTTAAACTTTGCTAATGCGTTCCTTTCCCCGGGGGTAAATAGCCGTGCGGAATTAGTACCCTCGCTCCGGGCTTACGCCCGGTACGATGCTCCGGGCCGTTGGCTCGGGGATTATGTTTAACTTGATGGCACGGACAGTTTTGTAAATATTCTCGCGGAAATGTTGGTCAAACGAGGCAAAAAATTCCCACGATTTTGGCCGTGCTCAATCAGGTAGCTAAATTTAGTTACGTACAATATGCGTACAGTTCGATCGATTTGTGAAAAATTTAGAATAATAATAAAATAAACTGGAGTTTTTTTGCAGGTAAAAACCAGAAAACTTCCCGCGGCTTGTATCAATATTTTTACTGGGCCACGAAGATTCCACGCGCAGAGTCGCAAGGATGACGTCTGATCTATATAAATCGTGTTTTTCAAACTGTTTTTTTTTTTTCTTCGTGTTTTTCAACTAAGCCTATAACTTCCTTGTAATTGGATATTGGCAAAATGACATGTGTCGTTTTCAATTTAAGACTAATAAATATTTATTAAATAAATCAGATAGTTGAAACACAGATAATTCTAATGTCAACTAAGAATATAACTTCCTTGTAATTGGATATTGGCAAAATGACATGTGTCATTTTCAATTTAAGACTGAATCGGATTTCAAGTTCTTGACAAAGTCTTTGCATGCATTTGGCGTTGTCGTTTGTTTCAGTCTTGAGAGGACTGGACTAAATATCCGTGTATTTAATTACATTGTCATTTTATAATCGGAAATGCAATTTTTAAAAAAGTATTATTATTTCACCACTTCTTGGCATTGAATTTTAATATGGGATTAATTACCATATGTACTGATACAGAATAAATTAGTCTGTTTCATGACGGCTTAGTCGACTGAGATATTTGAAGTAAAATTGTAGAAAATTCACTGTCATGATGATGAAACATACAAAATTACCTTCAGGCAATATAGTAATAGGTAGATTCTTACTAGTTTGTATAGTCATGCGATGGTTACAAATTTGTTCGTGTATATTAATTTCGTCTCCCCTTGTATGTTGCTCCTTGCGCGTGCATTATGCAGTGGTGTATTATTGTGTATTATAATTTCGTCGCGTCTAGCTCGTCTCTACTGTATACCAAACACCGCAGTGTTTTGTTGGATACTCTGGTTTTCTCGTAGCAATGCGTAGCATGACTGCATGGAGTGCTTGATTGTAGGCTATATGTCCAGGAAAAAACAGTTTAAAACTGACAAGGCTATCTAATTAGCTTAGCCAAATCTAAAAATCTGGCTTATCAGTGATTACAGTAGCTAACTATAATATTTGAAAAATTCATAGCAGAACGTGTTAGCCTTTTAGGTTTAGCCACACAAAATTTATGTTTTATGTCTAGTTTTACCTACCGGGAAACTCTGTCCTTTAATAGATGCGGTAGCTTTAGTGATGGTGACATATGTTATTGTTGCCCACAGTAAAAACCAAATTGTAAGAAAGGCCATTGCACATGCACGTCCTTCGAAAATTCCCGTGATATTAAGAAACTAGTGTATGTATTAAGTTACTAAGTTGGCGATATTCTATACATGGCATACGCTCAGAGATCG